TCTGCAAAATTTAAGTTGTTGAGAGCATGTTGGGAGAAAATGTTATTGGAAATACATGGTATGATCCACTAGAATGACAAGTTGCACATGTCCATTGCACCTTAATGGTCTCAAATATGTTTTGTGGTGTATATGAGTATTTTATTTATGTTTACTAATTCCATAATGAAACTTGTTCCTGAAATACACATTTGATCCCATGTTGATTGAGTTTAAGGGAAAGAAATAACATCCATTTTTGTTACATCTTAGACACTCTATGCAAGTTTCATGGCTGTGAACTGTGAGTGAAGGTGTGTGCCCATGTTCTATGTCAAAAACCTTAGTCATACTGAGGCTTAGAGGAGTAACCCTCTCCCCTAGTCACCCAGCTGTGAAAGCCAGAGCCATAATTTGGACTTGGGACTTCTTGGAGTTTTTATTTGGAATTCTTTCTTGGACCACTTCTGTGATTTTGAGTGTTACCAGACATTTAACTACAATAAGCATAGTTGGTCAAAGGTGGCAAAGCTTTTCTGCCTTTTCCCTTAATGGTTAGAAATTGGTGATCAGAAAAAAATATCTATATGTCAGCAATGTTGAATATGTATATTATTTTGAGCTTCAGATTTGATAAAAATGCTCAGTTATGGCAAGTATTCTTCTAAGTTAAACTTTTCCTGGACAGAGTAGCAAAGAGGGCCCTGGAGTGGTAAGGGAAATGCTGTATTCTATTAATGTTTATATTTGGCTGTAGCTCACCAAAAATCAAGGTTAATACATACAGTTCTCTCTTCCAGTCTGTGTATAAGTTGGCAAATGACAGGAACAACATTTGTTTCTAATCACCCATCCATCTTAATAATGCCAAACAGATACAGTACAGAAACTGTTGCAGTACAACCAGCATTTCGTGACATCGGAATCTTTGCCAGTTTGAAAGAGGACCTCAAATCTGGGAAAAGTTACATTTTTATGCTTTTGGTCATGATCTTAGAACATACTTATTAGGTCCACTGGATGACAAGATTAGGCATTAAAAATTGTATTGTTAAAGTGTAAATGCTTAATAGTTTCACTAGAGAACTATACTGTAGTGTTTGAAAGCAGAAAATATTTACTGAAGGACTTTTGGGGGTCATATTTCTAGAACCAAGGCAAAGCTCAGCTATTATAGCCTAAAGAATTAGAAAAAATACTACAACAGAGGAGCAATATCTTTGTATGAGTGATACCAATGAAGTTCCTTAATATGTAAGAAATTTGGCAGTCATGTGGATGCTTTGAGTTGGCATTGTTTTTAAAAGCTAGGGGAAGGCAAATTATCATAAGAAGTTTTAGTCTCTTTCCAATGTGGGAAAGGGGACATTTTTGTTTTGGGCTTGGTGCGGGAAAATAGGAGAGGTGGGTGTCAAGGAATGCCTTTTTGTTAGTGCTTGTCACCAGAGAGCAGGGACTGCTGAGTCACAGCCAGTCCTCTAGCAGGCTCTCTTTTCTCCGCACAGACTTCTTGCTGCCCTTGGCAGGGGCATGTGTTTGGTGCTCTGCAGAAGTGAAAGAAAACAGTACTAAATTCAACTGTGATAGCATGCACACTCCCTAATACACTGAGGCTAAAAGGTCTAAGACACCCCACATGCAGATGGCACCCACAACCTCTCAGAAGAGGGGTGGCAGTGGCCTCTTCTAGAAAAGGACACTTAAGAGGGTGGGGAGAAAGGTTCTTACCAGTTTGGAAAATCTGCCTACCATTGTAATAAAAGTGAATTGAGACTGTTATCTGAACAATTCAACTAAGATCTCACAAAGTGTGAGTTAGTCTGAATTATCCATATAATTATGTTACAGCAGAAAAAAATGTGAACTGGAAGTTGGATCTTGGTTTCCACCTGTGTCTGCCACAAAGATATGTTTAAACTACTCTATGGGCCTCTGTTTTTCATCTATAAGATTAGGGTCTATCCAAGACAGTGAATTTAACTTTGTATTTTGTGTGTGAACTCATTCCCTGAGGCAGCAAAAATGTCAGTTTTGTGAAATTGTGTACTCATGGAATCAGAGTGGGCATAGGTAATTCTCTTTAGGCATGCTTCCAGCACAACAAAGTGAACCCTGGAAAGCCCCTACAGTAACCCATCTTTACCTGCTGGGAATGAACCTTTCTCTGATTTCTCCCTCCCCCGCCTTTCCCTCTTCTCTCTCCTCCTCTCCTTACCTACTTCCCTCTCTTCCTTAGAATTCATGTGGGATCAAGAATCTGATTCACAATCTAAAAGGAACCTTAGTTAGGTTGATTATCCATCCATAAGCTAAGGAACTTGAACTCAGCCAGCCAGAATGATGGTTGAAGTTGTTCATTGCCCTTGCTTACACACAGGCGTCAGAGGTGGGGCCCAGAATCAGGGCACATCTACAACCCAAGCATTTGCTTCCATATTTACAGAAATTGTCTTCTACATTAGAAAAGGGGGTTTAGACTGATCAGAATGTTGGGAGTCGATAACCAGAGAAGTTTTCAGCCCCCCAAGGCAGCAGCCTTGATTCCTGGTTGTGGGAAGGGTCTGACAGGGAGAATGGAAAAGGTCCTAAACACGGAGGCGGGGTTCTTTGGGGGCAGGCGTCCTGCAGATGTGCATTTCTCTCTTCCACTTGACCAACGTGGCCTGGAAGGGTCTTCCCGGATGAGGGAAAATGGAATTGTAAAGCGCCAGTGCGGGGGTCAGAAGAGGGTTCTTAACCCCTATCCTTGGCTCCAGGCAAGGCTTACCAAAGGTCATTTGCCGAAGTAAACAGACTCCCCACCCCCACTCTGCAGTTCCAGGATTCTTGCTGAAGCCTTGCTGAGGTTCAGCTCCTGCGTGGTTTCCAGCCTGGGAGGGGCGAGCTGGGGGCTAGAAACACTGTGCAGTCTGTGGGAAGGGCGGGCTGTGTTAGGGGTTAGGCTGAGGGTTGGGGAAGGGACAGGCCCTGCCCTTGGCCCACCCGCCTACGCGCGCGGAGCCCGGGGCATTCTCTGGCGCCACCGAGGAATCCAGTTTCCTGGGTGGATGCCAGAAAGAACAATCTTGGCGGGGACACCTCGTCGTGGCTTCTGCCCGAGGCCCGGGTCCTGGGAGCACCACGGAGCCCCATCGCTGAAGGCCCGGGTCTTTTTCTCGATGTGCGGTTCTGGGGAATTGGAACCTCTCTGGAACTTAAGCATTCCTGCAACTTTCTGCGTTTCTCGTAGAAAACCCGGGCTTGTGCGGGGTTTCCCCCTGTCTGGGCCTCCTCCACCCAGCAGACAGAGGCCGAAACTGCTGGAGCTGGTGTGCGTGGGCGGGGGGGGGGGCGGTGGCGTGAAGGAGTGCCGGGGAGTCGTCGACAGAGCCCCCAACCCTCTTCTTTCCGTACCCTACACCTCCCAAAGTGATTTGTCACTTGGGTCATGGAAGTAAGGGCTTGGTCATGGAACACCGGCCTTGACCACTCTCTAGAAAACCTTACAGTACCTGGGGAGACAGCGCAGGGGATCCGAAGCTGAGGAGGGGACCCCAGTTAATCCGACTCAAGACTCTGGAGTATTCTTTAGGAAGGAAGGATTTTTTGAAGGGAGAACAGCAATGATTTTAAAACATCATCTTTGCCTTCTTCTATTGTTATTTCGCTTGTCTGTGCCTTTTAACATAAATCAGTGACGATTTAAAATCCCCATTTGCAGAATTGTTGTCATGTACCAGTAGAAATGAAAATAGTGCTTTACAAAACTTATGTAAGAGGTAGTGCCCTGACAGAGGCAAGGCACATAGTTGGAGAGAAATGGCTACTTCAATCAGAGATGGGAAGCATCTGAAGTTGCCGACTTCTGGCTCACCATCAATCTTAAGATTGTGTTTTCAAGAGAAAAGCAAAGAATTGATCATGGGTCCTGATCATTTCAACCCAGTGAACTAATTGTCTGCCCCCCAACCCCAGGGCACTCCCGTCTTTCAGTTTTATTTTCTGGTCTAATTATTGGTCTTGCAGGCACAAATATCCACTTAAATGCCTACCTTTTGTCATAATTCAACCCTGTTTTTATCACTCTTCATGATAATTAGTAGATAGAATGAAAATCAGTCAAACTTGTTACTTGTTAACTAGACTTAGGGATAGGTTTTTTTTTCCTTTCCCATTCTTGCCAAAAGACAGCATCCTGAAACAAATTCCACTTTCTTTCCCTACCTCACAATATGTTGGTCCAAACATCCCCTTGGGTGAGTTGAGATCTGTCCAAGAATGGCAAGAGCAATGGGGCCTACATTTCCAGTCTTTGGATTTCTCATTGTTTGTATTACTCTTTAGAATATTGCAATCCATAAATTGTTAGAATCCCACTGCCTTTAAATTTATTGGGAAACAGGTGTTCACTCTTTTCTGGTACTTCCTCTTATCATGATCTCCCATTTTAATTAGGGAAATTGTCTCTTCAGATCACAGCTGAAATGGGCTGGCAGCTCCACATCTCTAAATGCTCTCTTTATACAAAATAGGAGAGTGAAACAAAAATATTACTAATAGGACTTTTGACATTCCTAAAATAGGTTTTCTTTTGAAAAACACATTGAAATTCAAGTTGCTCTTAAACTTGCCCTGAGGTAATCTTTGGTGTTTAAGATAGTCACATGCCAAGATTGTTTCCTAGCTTTTTGAGCTCCAAATCGACCAATTTGCCTGAAAACATCTACTTGACTATAAACTTGTTAATAATGTTGGCCAGAGGATTCTTGGACACACATCTCACGACTTGTTCCAGAAACTTGTAGGAGAATTCTTACAGAGGTTGTTGGTTTGAAGTTTTAAGAAATCTCATTGTTGGAAGTCTCAGACTGAATACTTGTACAGCAATTTGTCAGGTAAGGAAACCTGCAGAACGCCTCTACCTTTAATGAGTCATTCAGGAAAATATTCTGACCCATATGAAAGTTTCTAGAGACTCAAACCTGAACAGATTTTGAGTGAGTGGGGGTTAAAAATTCACCATCTCCTGTTACTACAAAGCATTAAAAGTCAGTTGTGAGTTTTATTTTAAAATAAACATTATACCTAGGTTTCATAAAATTTATACATGACTATGTACACAGATACAAATAAAGTATTAAAAATAAAAATCACACTTGCTTTCACGTGGCAGTGGCCCTGGCACCCCACATACATAATGTTAACTTTTCCTTTAAAGAAATTGCTTGGCCCAAGGAGGCCACAGTTAGAGATCACCAAACCATTAATAAAGCTGTAGCCCGTTGCCTGCAACATTTTCAATTCAGGTTTCAAAAAATATAAATAATTTAATTACAAAATCCAAATATATATATATAATCTTTTGGCACAGGGAAGCATTGGTTAATAGCAGAGAAATGGTTTAAGATCTGTGACACCTCTCTCACATTCAGTCATACCTGTAAATTACACATACGTTACTCATGGAACAGGGGTCCAATAAACCCCAAACAGTAGTCATATCATTTATCATATGGAATAGTTCCCTGATGTGCTTCTTTCCCGTTTTTTGTTAGTAACAAATCAATGGAAAGTGTGACAAAAATAGTAGGGTGAAGGGGTGCCTGGGCAGTAAGAATAAAGGGAAAGTCTGTGAAGGGATGGGAGGGAGTTACGGAACAGGCTTGGTAAAGAACTGCTAACAGTTATGAAAAATTGCTTTGGTCTTCTGTCAAGCTACAAAAGAGGAGGGAAATATTCTGGACTAAGTTAAAGCACTTCTGTCAAAAAAAATCCTTTAGCTTTAAGGCATGTTTGATGGAGAATTTTCTTTTAAAGTTTCCTTTTCTCTGGGCAGAAAGTGTAAATCCCTGAACCTGCAGTAACGTCCTCCTCGACAGCGCGCACCCAGGTGGGGCTTGGGCGCGCTGTTCAGGCCTGGAGCGTCTCCCCTGGGTACCGGGCCGAGGCTGCCTGCAGGGCTGCGGGCAGCCTCAGGGGGCAGTACAGGTGCGCTGCGTGGCCGCCGGTAGCCGGACCTCGGAAAGGCTTGGCAGTGGCGGAGGCAGAGAAGGGCTCAAGCAGGAGATGGGGCGCTGGCTCGGCCGCACCACACCCGCAGAGTGGCAGTAAGGCCCCGCCGGGCGTGCTAGGAAGGAATGAGGAATATGCGGGCATCGGAGGACAGGGCGTGGCGCCCCACGGCAGTTGTACTCGGGGGAATGAGTCTCCATCGCGACAGCTGCGGAAAGGCTTGCTGAGGATGTTGTCTATGGCAAAGGAGCTGGAGAATTTCCCCACGGGGCTGACACACCCCTCCTGAAGGGCGGGGGACCTCGCTTGGGGCGAGCCCAGGGCGGCGGGAGCTGGAGCTGGGGCAGCAGCCTCCTCCAGCCGCAGCCCTGGTGCGGGAGCCGCGGCCCGGTGGCTGAGGCGTTTGCGGCGGCGGCGAAAGACCCCGTCGGCGAAAGTATACTCGCTGTTGGGGTTGAGCATCCAGTAGTTATCCTTGCCCCAAGGCCGCGAGGGGTCGCGCAGCACCTTGACGAAGCAGTCGTTGAGCGACAGATTGTGGCGCACCGAGTTGCGCCATCCCGTGTAGCTGCCGCGGAAGAAGGGGAACTTGCACATGAGGTACTCGTTGATCTCAGCCAGAGTCAGGCGCCCGCCCGCGGAGTCCCGGATGGCCATGGCGATGAGCGCGATGTACGAGTATGGGGGCTTGGGCCGCCGTGTGTACGGCTTGCTGCGCCCACCCTCACTGACCATCGAGCTCTCGGTCCCCGACTCAGCCGCTCCCGCCTCCCCGACCCCCGCCATCGCTGCCGCGGGGCCCTTCTCTTCCACCGAAGGCTCACCTCTCGCATTCCGATTGTCGCAGCCCGAAGCTGGGCTGTTAGCCGCACAGTCCCCGTCCGAACCCAGCGAGTCGTCGCCGGCTGCAGACAGCGGAGAGGGCGCGTCGCTACTGCCTGCGCCCTCCAGGTCGCTACCCGGCTTGTCCCCGTGGGCCCCGCGGGGGCTGAACACCTCCAGCTTCATGCCCGCGCACCCCGTCCCTGCCCAGCACCCTACCCTTTTCCTCTGAGGGTCTTGGAAGGCTGGTTCGGAAGACAGTGGTGGCGATTCCCGCTCCACGAGTCCTCGACTTCCTTTAACGAGAGCTCTCCCCACTCTTGGCGAGAGACAGTCACTTTTCCATAGAAGAGTCCTCTTCCGTTGGAATTTTTCTTTGGAGGGGTTGTGCTTATTGGGTGAACTAAGAGGGCCAGAGAGGAGTTGGGTGGGCGCTGTCTTCAGTTCGAGAATAAGAGACTTCGGGGTGAATGTGTGCAGGGATGCGGTTTCAACTTCTGGTTTCCAGGCACAAGGGCCTTGGGGTTTCCTGCTGGAAGAAACGTACGCATCTGCTCTTGGTCCAAGAGATCAGGAGGATTTCTTCACTGGACTTTCAAGGTCCTTTGCAGGAGACTTTGGGCACGGAAATGTTGCAGGCTGTTGTGCGTGCCACCCTTGGGGTAAAGTGCAGTGTCTTCAGCGTAGAGCGCTGGCGGAGCCGAGTCCCTGAGACCGTGGCTCGCGCAGCCGCCTTCCAGTCCCTGGCGTCCCAAGCGGCATCTCCGCGCGGGCCGGCTGCCACTAAGTCTGGCCTCCACCTTCCTCCCGGCCCAATATAACCCTGGGGCGACTCCGCAGAGGCGGGGCCTGGGCGCTGACAGCAGAAGGATGGGTGGAACCAGGTGGTTTAGGTAGCTGAGGCTCTCTGGTGGCGCGTACCGAGTTAAGGCCTAGAGGCTGCGCCGCCTCAAAGTCAAAGAGCGCAGGTTGTTTGTTTTGGGTTTGACCAGCCCCGCCCTCCGCCTCCCGCCGATAGGGTGCGTGCGCGCGGCTGGTGTGTGGGGGTGTTAGCGAGTTTGCTGGGGTCCCTGCGTCCCAGTCCGGTCCGCCGTCTCCTCGGCTCTGGTGGGAGCACCCCGCCTCTCCCGAGCAGTCTCTGCGCCCTTGAGCGAATTGAGAGTAGGCTAGGCGTGGAGGGGGGTGGGGCGGGCAGGCGTGTACGTCGAAGGGTTGGGCCAGGTCAGCAAGGACTTTGCTCAGGCTCGTGGCCTTCCTAAAGTGCACAAGGTGTGTGTTTGTTTCTCTGGTGGTGAAAATGGTGCGTTTTCCGAAAGTATATGCCTCTCATCCCGGACGAGGTGCTGAACCGCACAGACCAAATTGGACACACTTTGCAGTGATCTCTTATTGAGCTACGTGCTGTGCCATTTCCTGTGATTTCCTTTTAAGGACTATTTTATCTTCTTTCCTTTTATAAAGAATAGAACACTGGACTTGAAATTGTATACGCCTTTTTGGATGAACTTGATTCTTGCTTTCTAAACGATCTCCAACTTTCACTTTTTTTTTGCCTTTACCTTTTTCTGTACCTGGCTGGTGGCTCTTGGGGAAGAGAAGCAGTGTCCCCTCTTCCCCTGGGGCAGTTGTGCCTAGAATCTAGAGCGGGATGCCAGGCTCTGCTTTCCCACTTGCCGCTCTAGACTCCGATCCCTTTTGTTCATGGGTTGGCACAGTCAACAGGAATGTCTGGGAGGGCGTGTACCCAGGGGCAGGTGCTCAGAACATGACGTATTTGCAGCCATTTCTTTCCAGTCCTTTTGGTGAGGAGTTTTTCTGTGGTTTCAGTGGCACCAGTGTCTGACAGCCAGGAAAAGGGGATACCTTTCCTTGCCCCAGAAGTTGAGGACCTGACATTAGTGGTTTCAATTCTTCAGAGAGAGGATCACTGTCCCCTAGAAGAGTACATTTCTTACCCTCTGCCCTTCTGCACTGAGGTTTCCTCCTTTTTCCTGTCTTTGTTGCAAATAGAAAAAGCACTGTAAGTACGTGGGAGCTCACCTTTGATGTTTATTTTATTACTTTCCACCATTTGTGTGATGTACACAATTCTCTCTTATCTTCATTCAGGAAGTTTTAAAGGCATTTAGCCTGGTGTTGATGGCAAAATGACAGACTCATGGAAGGCTCCGTTATTTTTGTGTTTGGGGAAATGACACGTTTAAAGATTAAACTGACACTTATTGTGTGTTCCAGTGGGGAGTGGGTGGGGAGGGGCTTCTTTTCTGGGGATGTGCTGCCCTAAAGAGGATCTGCTCAGCACTAGTCCTTGGAGTTCATGCACCCTTGGACCTGGAGAGGGGAGTGGGCTTAGACAAGGGAGCAGCCAGGTAGAAGCATCAATTTGACTATGGATAATAGGCACTCAAAATGAGCGTTATCCTATTGTGAACTCTAGAAGTGGCAGGGCACTGGGATGAAGGCCTATTTTTATGGAGGAGATAAGCCCCTCTGGTTGAGGTATGGACCCAAGTTAGCTAGAGTCTAAAGAGACCATTGAAAGACTGCTGGGCCAAGGTTTTGTGTCTATCCCCAGTTCCATCTTGGAGACCACACAAGTGAGTTGTCCTGCAGGCATGAAGGCACTCATCTACCACAACACCCTTGCACCCATGTTACAGAACACACCCAAGGGTGTGTGAACAATATACTATTACCGAAAGGACCCCCCTTTTTTGCTCTGGGGGTCCCCCCCAACTAGGTTCCCGCATTAGTCCAGCTCTACTGGGCTGCCATAGCAAGTCTGGGCAGGCATGGCCCCATGGCATGAAGCCAATCATCTCCTAGATCTCACTCAGGCGCTGTAACCAGGGGGAGTTACTGCCCAGTTACATCTTGCGTAGAAGTCACTCCCATCACCCTGGCTCAAAGCATGGCCACAGACATTCAATATATCCAGGAAACCAGTTAAAGGTTATAGATATGTTAAATGACCACTTTAGAGGTTATCTGCAAAACTGTTGCTATTCAAACAACTCTTGACAGCCCTGCTCCATGTGACCCATCCCCCAGCTCAGACTGGTAGGGGTGAGGACATCATATATGTATTTTTTTTCTAATATTTCCTGGACACCCTGAGTTCTAGACCCCATTACAAATCCCTGTTTGGGCCCCCCCCCTTGTATGCACCCTGTTACACCCATGCAACCAAAACACTCTCAGGTTTGGGGCATCACTTCTCTCTGTGTTTACAGCAACCTTGATCCCAGACCCACCCACTGAGTGGCTTCCTTAACCCCATGAAACACCCTCCTATCTCCATTACCTTTCTCTCCCCAGATTGCCCAGCCCAGCTGCTCCAGGGTCCTTAGGTTAGTCTGGGGGGGGGGGGTTCCAGCAAGCTTTGGGCTGTTGATAGGTATATTGTTCAGAGAGGAGAGAAAACTGTGTCACACTATGTCCTGCTGACACTCACACATGACTGCATGACCTTGGGGCTGCTGTTCATGGGCCTTTCCTCACCTGGAAAAGGATGCAAATCAAAATGGACTCAAAGTTTTCTTTCAGATAGTTTTTAGGCACCAGCCTTTTTTGGGGGGTTGAATATATAGCAGGTGCATTTCTCCATCGTTGGTGACTTCTCGTGGCCATCTGGTATGAACTCTCAGCTAACCAGACTAGTCTGCATCCTGGGATGACTAGAGCATCCCAGGATGCAGACCAGTGAGAGGGGCAATGGGGTTGTTGTTCTTTCAGGCAGGCAATCTGGGGTTGGGGGTTATATCCTCCAGCCTCTCCTTTCTTGCAGACAAAAGGAGTATTGATCACTGAAAAGGAAGGTATACTCCCCCCATTTCACTTTTCCCTTTTTTACCCAGAGACCTCCCCATTCATTGCACAGCAGCAGCCTCTCCTTACTCCTTTCTCAGGTAGAGAAAAGCTCTGCCAACCACTGCTGTGGGATAAGCCTTCACTTTGCCTCAGGGCTGAGCCCCAGGTGGGCTGCTTTCTTCAGGTTTGAAGCCTATAAAAGTTGAGGAGGAAGGGAGTGGAATAAGGTAGGAGAGTTCTCAGCAAGAAAACCTTTTCTATTTTCAGAATGACTCAGAGCATTGAGAGATAGGCAGTGCACTTTTGGAAAGGAAGACCCAGGTTAGAATGACTGGCAGGGGGGCCTAGAAAGGATTAAAAGATCCCCTGGAGCTAAAATGTAAGATCCACAAGGATAGTAGTTTTGTCTTTTTCTTTCACTACTGTACCCCCAGTCCTTGTCTCGAGAATGACTGTCATATTGTGCCACATACTGGGAATATGCTGCATTTACAATCAGTTAAGATCAGAAATAAAACCATTCTTTCTTTTTGTGGTTGATTCTGTTGTTATTATCTTTAACTGTTGTTTTAGAGCTGGGAAGCCATTCACCTTTTGCAGGTATGAGAAAAATGGGAATGGATGGGAAATACATCCATTCACTGCACCTCTGTCCACAACATCCTCAAAGCATTGAACCATTTAAGAGCTCAGACACTGAAAAAAAATTCACATCGTATTTTGTTAGTTCATAAATTCCCCAGAAATGCTGGGAGATTTCTGTCCCCTAATTCTCAATTCTTTTTAATGGGGGGGTCTACTATTGATGGGTTATAATAAATGCCTGTAGGTAGAGCCTGACTGAACTATTTGTAGGTACAAAACACCCACTAACTAATTTTGACCTTTTTCCCTTAATTTCCATAGGAATAAGTGAATAAACTATGGCAAAGGATGAGTTCACATTCCCATGATTTCCTGGCCTCCCCGAAGTGGTTTCAGGCAAAGGAAGTTAATGCATTTATCTTCAGATACCAAGAACTAATTTAATTAACTATGGGGACTACCTGCCTTTTTAAGACTTTCTGTAATTTGATAATGCTTCACTGATCCAGTTCCTAATCACTGATGTGGGAAGGAAATAATTTAATTCCTAACATACCTAAGGCCACCTGGTAGACTGGAGGTTGAGTCTTAGTGGAAATATTGATGACTTGCTATCCATTAGAAGAGCACACAGGCTGCTAGCACAAAGGGAACTATGGAATCAACTTGATAACATGCCCTGAGCACCCTGGGAACAACTTTGAGTTTCTTGCCATGGTAACCTTTGCCAGTAGAGCCACACTCTTGCTGTCTGAGTCTGAAGGGAAGGCGAACTTAAAATTGCCTTCCTGTGAGGACCAGCGCCTCTGGAGAAGTCTGCTACAATGATGTTAAGAACTGAGGAGACCCAGGCATAGAGAACATGCTAATGTTGACAGCTCCAGAACAAAGCGCATGGCTCTGAATCTATGCAAAATCTCTTGTAGAGCAGAGAGGGTTGAAAGTCAGGTGGCAATGCAGGTCCTCTTCAAAGATAAAGCTGGAACTCCCCCTCTATCTCCCCCTTTTTTTTCAGTGACAACATATGGGAAGAAATGGAGTATTTTGTACTCTGTTCTAACTCCCAACTCCATAATCTGGCTGGTTCCTTGTAGATGCTGAACACTTGTGAAGAATCCTGCAGAGATGGAGGGTGGGTGTGGTAGTAGACATAGAAAAATTAGGTCATTTTACATATCTATGAAAGAAAACCAAGCTTGTTTGCACACTTGCTGCATTTGTTCAAGTAGCTAGTGGTCAAAGCTTAATCAAAGAATCCCAGGATATGCCTGGGCATTGTTGACCAGGTGCAAATCCAAGGGCTGTACCTGAAGTTTCTTTTGAGAATCCTAGAGATTCTTTTCCAAGGCCTGTGGAAAGTTTGAAAAGAATTTTTGAGCACTCCTAAAAACATCAGTATTCTCCATTAAGTCCAATTGCCCATCATAACTTGTACATTCTTCTCTTTTAATATAGTATCACTAGCACTAGTCTTCTATTTATTAGCCATGACTAGAATTATTTTCTCATTTATAGGTATAGAGCTTAAATGAGAAGTAAGATGGAAGAGAAGTAACCCAAATTCTCTGAGGGGGAATTGAAAATAATAAAATTATCTATTTCTCGCAATCTTTCCCTTATCATTGGTACTCTTAGTTCACTAGAGAATGGCTAGATTATAGTCTGACCTGACAACAAAGCTAGCCTTATAGACTTTAAGTCAAGGCCATGTGCAGAAACAGCTGACGTGTACAGGACTTTGAAAGTTAAGAACATAAACTTGAAGTAACAGTAGTAATATAGATAGATGTCTCCACTGCTATAACTTGGGAAGAACTTGGTACAGAAGTTATAAATGTGGTGAAGGGATTAAGAAGTACAAATGGGCAGTTATAAAAATAGTCACAGGATGTAAAATACAGCACAGGGATTATAATCAATAATACTGTAACAACTGTATGGTGTCAGATAGATACTTAGATTATTGGGGGTGATCATTTCATAAGTTATATAAATGCCTAATCACTATGTTGTACACCTGAAATTAATATAAAATTGTCTGTCAACTGTAATTGAAAATGTTTTAAATTATGTTTAAAACCTGCAGGTGATTCAATGAAGCCTGTTAAACTGCAGACTTATAACCTCACTAGGCAA